TGTCAAACTCTATGTACACAAGAAGTGTACAATGAGCATAATTCAAGTTCAAATATTTCACCAGAACAATCTAGTTACTAGTCACAATGAGAGGGTCGAGATCTTTTGTTCAAAAAAAAAAAATTATCAAAATTTTCTAACTTATTTTTATCAAATTACCAGATGTTAAATAGTTCTAAGGGTATGTTATAGCAAACTACCTTTATGCTAGTAGATTTGAAAAAGTAGTTTCATTGATCGTAATTGTTATAGAAGCAAATTCTGAATTGGATTTTGACCGACAAAGATTAAGCGCAAAATTATTTTATTCAATATCCACATCTTTTTTCAAAAAAATTTGTTCAAAGTTGTTCTAGTTCGTTGACAACAACCCGTCACATGAACAGAGTTTTTTTTACGAGGACACATAAAGTTATTTTATTGAACAATTAAAAAAATTCAAACAAATGCTGTTAACGCAACACATGTCAAAGCTTTTGTCGACTAACCCTGTACAAGCAGCATTATTGTTGTTGACAAACAACAACAAAAATTTATTTTCTCTTGACAGTCTGTTAAGTTGAATTAGTGCAAAACTTCGGACAACAATTTGGAAAATTTAAAAATGGCAATCAAACAAAACTTGTATTGCCATTTGATATCATTTATAAATGGCAATGTTCTTAGGAAACATCAGTTGGAGGGATTCAAGTAGTTATCTTTTATCACTTTGACACGTGCAGACACTCCTCTCTATTTGGTGGCTTTTTTTGGCATTTGAGTAGTTTAGGATGTGTTCACGAAGCACCTTTTTCATTGTGATGCATATTTTTATAACTCAAATCATTTTTTACTTGGTGAAATGGCACTTGGGTATAATAGTTTACATACAGATGATGTGTCAAAAAAAAAGTGGAGAAGAACTTTTTTTATTTGGTTGAATAAATTATAACACAATCATATATCACCACATCATGTGTATGTAAATCAATACATATTATGTACATGTAACACAACCGACTAAATAAATTGAATAATGTTACTTTTACATAAGCAATTAGATACATATAGATTAGGTGTCAAAAAAGAGTATCATCGATCCGTAAAAGAATCTGTAAATAATCATTTGTAACGAGCATTTTCCTTGGAAATTTAGGCACCCTACTCCCTACATCCCAAAATGTAGTTATTATGTTTTTGTTTTTGTTTTTGTTTTTTCCTACTTTTCTTAACCTTGGATATTTTTTTGAATTTATTAAGTTTTTAGTACACGAGTTTCGATTAATATTAATAGAAGCAGGTGTGTTACGCCAAAAAAAGGACGGAAAGGCTATATTAAAGGAATTAATGTTATCCATAAATGTTTGTTATTTTAATGATTGGTACTTAGAGATTATCATTTATCCTGCTTCTCAAAATTTGATAGCAGGTAGTCCGATTTTTTATAGTTCAATTTTATCACGTTTATCAAACATTTAAAATAGTTTTGAAACTGGAAATTACTAAACTAAAATGCAAGTTTTTCGAATCATTTCATTTCTTATTCAGACGTAATTTATTCTTTTTATTGAACTACGAAAAGGAAGGAGGTTCACCGTGAAAATCAACGGTTCAAGAACAATCCATGGCTTCCAACAGACAGAAAATGGAGCCAAACTGGCTAATGACAAATGTTGATCTGAAAAATTAATAACCATAAGCTAGGGATAGAACTACCATTACATCCAACAACGTTGCTCCTATTAACACTTGAAATTTCGTATTAAAATGTCAATCTTATTAAGAGAAGTGACACAAACTCAATTGGTACCAGAATTCAATTTAAATCTCTCATAAGGCAATGGTCTTAAATTCAAATTTTGGAGAACGCGATAGAAATCGTAAAGGGTAAGATAGACTCACGCTCTTCTAAAGCGGAACACGTAAGCGAACGACTAGGCTAACGATCGGGCCCTAATACCCAAGTCATTAATTTACATATTGTCCGCTCTGGAAGATCCCGACCACAATCTTACTCCTCACGAATTTTTATCATGTCCCCTAAGATTCAAACTCAAAATTTCTTTTTTTAGGAGAGACTTAAATTGAATAATGTGTTTCATCAAATGCATCCAACATTGCAACTATTGCCATCTTCGAGTCAAACTCTAAAATTGAATCCTGTGTTTCGATAGCTTACTGAACTTTGAAATATTTCATGTTTTAGCCAATAAACTTATAAAAACGATGTTGCCCTATTCTTCGTTAAAAAATATGTATCACAAGCTCACGGGTCGCGTAAAAGTAATGAAGTGGACAAATAAGTCCGAATTGTCAATCCAACGAGAAATGATTACTCAATTATATAATAGTTAAATTTGAAAAATTCAAATTTATTGTGTGTTTCATTTTAAAAATTTTGATTTTTGTAACGAAACACGGTCAATTTGATTAAATTTATTGGGTGTTTCGTCTTTTATCCAAATTTTAATTTAATTTAATTTTAACAACGAAACTTACAATAAATTTGATTTTTTTTAAATGATGAAAATAGTTTAAAATTCTATGACGACATGTTAAAATTAAATTTAATTATTGAGTAATTGAGTAATGATTTCTCGTTAGATCGATAACTCAAACTCATTTGTCCATTTTATTACTTTTACGCGACTCGTACACTTGTAGTACACATTTTTTAAAGAACACAAGCCGACATCATTTTTTATAAGTTTAGTGATCAAAGTTCCGTGAATAATCAAAGACTTTTTCAAAATTTAGTGAGCAATCGAAAACTTTTTTATAGTTTAGTGAGTAATGAAAGACACTTTAAATTTTTAGTGACCAAAATTCGACCACCTCAAATTTCAGTAAGCAATGTAAGACATTTTTTAAAGTTTAGTGAGCAATCGAAGACGTGACAATTCCGTTAG